TGGGGTCCTGGAGTCAAGGCACTTCACGCTTTCAGAGAGGGGGGTAACCCAGTGTTGCTGATGTCCTCAGACCATGGGGACGACTGTGATCTCAGTCCCTAACTTTGATGAAAGAGGAGAGTGACCCGGTTGGGAGAAGAGGGGTAGTATGTAAGGATAGAGTGAATCTTAGAAAGAAGCACTTTAAGGTGAACAGACAATGATTCTAAAAGAATCAATAAGCTAAGGGGCGCCTGACTGGTTTAGTCAGTGGAGCGTGCGATTCTTGATCTCAGGTCATGAGTTCAAGCCCCATGTTGGGCGTAAAGTTTACTTAAAAAAAAAAAATCAATAAGCTCAGAAAATGGCCAACCCTTTTCAGGGCCTGATAGGAGAAAAGTTTCTCTACACTGAAGAAGGCTGCAGGAGAGACGGTGTTTCCAGAGAGATTGATTTCCACTGAGGTTCTGTGGACATTTCCAGGTGAGGGAATGAACCAGAAGTTGGCTGGAAGGCAGTGCAGTGTGTGGACTTGAGGGACCTGGTTGGGGGCAGGTTGGTTGAGAGGTTGGGCAGTTCAGTGAGGGCTTCACGGGCACACGGTCCGCTCAGTCACATGGGAGTCTGTGCTCCGCAGGGCCCGTGCTTGGTTTCATGTTGTGCTGTCACCATCTTGAAATTCTTAGCCATTTTTGAATAAGGGGCCTCACTGTTCCCTTTTGCACTGGGTCCCACAAATTATGCAGCCAGTCCTGCCTGGACCTTAGAGAGGCAGGGGAAGGGGACAGGAGGAGCTGGAGACTTGGTTCCAGGCAGTCAAGGTGGACTGGTGCTGTCAGAGCTCTCTGAAGGTGACAGAGTGGCTGTTCAGCCACCTTCTTGGTGCTGTAAGCTGTTGCCAGAAACTGGTTGAAGTGATGAAAGGAGCCTGAACTGGGAGGAAGATTTGCTTGAAGAAAATTCTTTCTAGTGAGAATTAGCTTTACTATCTAACGATAATGTTGTAAGAACATTGTAACAGGAATGTTCAACGATCATAATCTTTTCAGATAAGTGTGATTAGAAGGTATTTATTGCTGTCAAATTATTATTCATGATCCGTGGAAATGTGGATCTAAAAATTACCTTACTTGAGAGAGGCTGATACCATTTTCAGCACTGTATCTAATTAAGTCTTTTTTTTGGTGAAAGACACCGCAAAGGCAAACTGTAGGTATCTCTGAATTGTAAATGCGGATTCCCGAGGTGCAGGATGAGGATATCTTGACAGACACATGGAAGGAGGAGTCACATCACCGTTGATTATGCAGTGAGTTATCAAAATGATAAAGAGAACAGAACAGGAATTACCTGCATGTGAATTTCCTAAAATAAATTGGATCCAGGCCCCAATTCTAAAACCTATTTATTGAGCGTTTATACTCTGATCCGTATCTTATTAGTCATCGTATCCAAACCTGCAGCCACTGTTGGTGGGGCCACGATTCATACCGTCTTCATTACGGTTACACACGACACAGTACATCACATGTGCAGAGATCTTGGTTCAGACCTGAAACTAATCCCTCAGATTTCACATCCGCCATTGCCCCACATGCGTCCACACATCCCAATACTGATGCCTGCTTCTATCTTCCTTTCTATGGGACGTGTGCCATGATTTTGCATTACATTGACTATGTTCTTGAGACCTCCAGGTCTCAAGGAGGGAAATATGAATGTTTTCCATGACTGTATTATGCTTGTGAACCACAGTTCATACTTCTTTATTCCTTCCTTCCTTCCTTCCTTCCTTCCTTCCTTCCTTCCTTCCTTCCTTCCTTCCTCTCTCTCTTTTCCTTCCTTCCTTCCCCTCTCTTCCTTCCTTCCTTCCTTCCTTCCTTCCTTCCTTCCTTCCTTCCTCTTCCTTCCTTCCTTCCTTCCTTTCTCTCTCTTCCTTCCTTCCTTCCTTCCTTCCTTCCTTCCTTCCTTCCTTCCTCTTTCTTTCTTCCTTCCTTTCTCTCTCTCTCCCTTCCTTTCTTTCTTTCTTCCTTTCTTTCTTCCTTCCTTCCTTCTTCTTTCGTTCTTTCTTTCTTTCTTTGAAATATCAGTTAACAATTGGGCTATCTTCTAATTACTAATTTTAATGAGAATTAAATACTAAGGAAAAAACATAAATCAATCCACGTAGTCCCCATTTCAATCTGTGTGGTTACTGTCTGGAGATGTCCCACAGCTCACCAATGCTCTGTTCACTTATTTAAAGTCATTTTTTTGCTCGCACGCCCTTTGTGGAATCTACGTTACTGGTTCACCAGTCTTGTCTTCCACAACATCTTGTTCATTGTTGGTTCCATTCATTGGTATAGTTTTTATCTCAGGCATGGTAGTTCTCATCTCCAGGAGTAAAATTTGAGTCTTACTGCTATCTTCCATGTCTCTACTTACTGTGTTCAAAGGTTTCCCAGTGTTTTGAACATACAGAATGTGGCTTATCGTAACAGTTTAACACACAGATTTGGTCCTTTGTTAGGTGTATCACTTCTGAGCTGGTTCCCCATTGATCATTCTTTCTCCTCCTTGTGGGTCTTATTTGCCTGCTTTCTTATATATCTGGTCATTTCTTCTTGGATGTTGGACATAGTGAATTTTGCCTTGTTAGTTACTGAATATTTTTGTATTTCTGTAAATAATCTTGAGCTCTGTTTGGGGGGGGGGCATTGGAGTTATTTGGAAACAGTGTGATCCTTTCAGAACTTGAATTTAATACTTCTTGGTGGGAATAGAGTGGCATCCAGCCCAGGGCTCGTATCTCCCCTTCTACACCTGCACTGAAGCAAGACATGTGTGTGCTCCACCCAAGGCCACCTTCAGTTAGGTTTCCATTCTGGCTGCTGAAACAGACACTATTTATGGCATTGCATGAACTCTGACTCCTCTCCCTTTTCAGGGGGTTCTGTCCCGGACCTTGTGTCATTTCCTGGGGTGCAGGCACTGATCAGAACTCTTCTGTGTACTTGAGGGGGCCTTCTGTAGATCTTTGAAGTTCTCTCTGCATCTCTGTCCTCTCTGTGACTCTGTCCTGTGTGCACTGGCCAGCTCGGTCTCTAGACTTTTGGTTCAGTCTCCTCTTGAGTGGCCCTGGGTGACACAGATTCTTTCTGTGCTGCAGCTTGGGAATGCCTTCAAGGCTGTGAGCTGGAGCGACAGCAACAATGTGACCGCCTCCTTTCTTCCCAGCTCTCAGAAGTCATATTTTTTCTGAGTGGTTTTGTTTTTGTTTCAGCTGATTCAGGCAGGAATGTAAATCCGGTCCCTGTTACTCATAAGGGAAGTGCTCCTGTGGTTTTTTAAAATTCTACTATCCAGTGAATAGGTTGGTAACTTGACATGGCAATACTTCTGGTGGTGGTATGGCTACTGTTTCTTTTGGGACGGAAACTTATTTTATGCATCAAAATCTTATAAAAAGCATATATCTTTCAACCCATAAATTTTGCTAATAGATATTTAGCTGATTTATTGGCTTAGGTCCGTTTTTAAACTAATTAACTAATATGCATTTGATATTAATGTAGCCTTTTAGATACAAATATAAAAAATCAGACTTCTGTAGACCAGATAATTCATAAGGTCCAGGGCAAAATGAATATGTGGGACTCTTCAAAAATTATGGGAAATTCATGATGGCCACAGAGCATTAAACCCAGTCCAGGACCCATCTACGCATGACTGCAGAGATCGTGCACCCGTGAAGCCAGCACTGACCAGCATATTTTTATGAGTTTTACCTATAAATAGTAAATAAAAGAAGCAAAACAATTTCCTGGAGAGTTTCATTTAGTAGTCTATGAAATTTCCAAAAAGCACAGTATTATACAGTGATTAAAATTTATGTTAGAAGATTTCGAAATTATAATAGTTCGCTGTTACAAGTTGGCACTGTGGAGTTTTTAGTTGTGCTATGCAACTAGTGTGAGGGTTGCATTTGAGTATGATGGGGGATGAATTCGGAAGGACCGTGAAGGGTCATGTCTGCCTTGGATTCAGTGCAGTAGTGAAGCTTTATTCTTTGGTCAGTGACAAACTCTGTACATTTTAAAGCAGAAACATCATGTGATGAAATGTGTATTTCAGAAAGATAATTATGGTAAATTGTCCAAGATTTTCTGATAATCTTATCTACAGATGAATGGCACTGCTAGGAATTTACCCAAGGGATACAGGAGTGCTGATGCATAGGGGCACTTGTACCCCAATGTTTATAGCAGCACTTTCAATAGCCAAATTATGGAAAGAGCCTAAATGTCCATCAACTGACGAATGGATAAAGAAGATGTGGTTTATATACACAATGGAATACTACATGGTAAGAGAAAGAATGAAATATGGCCTTTTGTAGCAATGTGGATGGAACTAGAGAGTGTTATGTTAAGTGAAATAAGTCATACAGAGAAAGACAGATACCATATGTTTTCACTCTTATGTGGATCCTGAGAAACTTACCAGAAGACCATGGGGGGAGGGGAAGGAAAAGAAAAGGTTAAAGAGGGAGGGAACCAAAACACAAGAGAATCTTAAAAAGTGAGAACAAACTCAGGGTTGATGGGGGGTGGGAGAGAAGGGAAGGTGGGTGATGGGCATCGAGGAGGGCATCTGTTGGGATGAGCACTGGGTGTTATATGGAAGCCAATTTGACAATAAATTTCATATAAAAAATAATAAAGTTTGTTCACACACACACACACACACACACACACACACACACACACACACGAGAAGAGGACCCAAATAGTGAAAATCTCCCCCCCTTCCTAATGTCTGTCCTTATTTTCTTATTTTTCTTTCTACTGTGTATGGATGTAATTTCCCCTTGAGCCTTCCACGTGCCCCTTACGTGAGCTGGAGAACATGAATACATTCTTTCTCCATTTAGCCCCATCTCTCAACCTCTAGATTGCCAGTGGAGTTATTTTCATGGACATTTGCAATAAACCTTATCACTGTTTGAAATATGTTTCCTTTTTTCTTCTTTCTTTCAGTGCGCTCGGTATGATAATGCCTTCATTGCAGAGATCCTGATTGACAGAGGGGTCAATGTCAACCACCAGGATGAAGACTTTTGGACACCAATGCACATCGCCTGTGCTTGTGATAACCCTGACATCGTCCTGCTGCTTATATTAGTAAGTAAAGCAATGTGGTTTATTACCATTTGATGATTGGATGGCATATAAAAGGCTGTGTGTTTAACTAGTAACATTTCACAATATGTAATACTTTGGTTGATAAAAAAATGTGTGTGTGTGTGTGTGTGTGTGTGTGTGTGTGTGTGATCGTTTGTTTTCCTGGAATTACCAGATAATTAGAGACTAAGGTTGTGGGTCACATAGTTCATAAAACAAATTGCACAGATGTCATGTGAAGCTATGCTGCCTTTTCTGGGAAATCATAAGCCTTAATATTTGCAGATCAGTCTTAACTAAAATGGTTTGAGAAGTGTTGTTTCATTAAGTCCACAGTCCATTCTGTTCTTAATTTTTAGCCAACTAGACACACGGTATCTATTAAATCTTGTCCTCTTGGTGACATCTGTTAAAGAAGTATCTGCAACATTTCTTTATGAGGAAATGAAAACGTTAAGTATAACAATCACTAGATTTACATGTTGCTCGTTTCCGGGTAGAGCTTAGACGCTGACATTGACCCTCACACCACACTTTAATTATTTTGGAATTAGGATTGGGGATTTTTTTTTTCTGGTGAGTTTAGCTCTAACAAAGGTTTTAAGAAGTTGTGCAGGATTTTTTTGAAAACGTGCCTCTCAATGTCTGATGACATTGCGTTTCTTTGACAGAACTGAGCAACAGAATTTGACTTTACTTCATGTATGAGCTGGAGGTCAAATCTGTAGTTTTCGAATTAACATTTTCCTGGTTCTGCGGTTCCCTTTTCTCACATCGTATGCATAGTTCTATTTCTGATAGTTATCTTAGTGACCTTCATTTACCGAGCATTTAATTAATATTTATTGATTATCACTTTCAACACAGTTCCTGCCTTTGAAGAAATTACAGTTTATTCATTCATTCAGCAAATCATTATTGAATAAGCACTATGTTCTAGGTGCTACACAGTGGGCGGAAAGACATTGGATGTTATAGAGCGTGGCAAAAACAAACCAAAGCAAGTAAAGTGAGACTGAGAAATTTGATTAGTGGCTTAAGCAAGTCTGAATAGTCTCCTTGCCACCATCTAAGAGCCAGCCCAGCCAGCATCCACGGGAATAATTTACTTTTAAATAAATATGGATGAAACACATTGTCCTAAAAATTGTAATTTCTATAGAAACGTGTTCCCATCAACAACCCCAAATGAGAGATTTATTTTATTTCCAGAATTAAATGCCATTGTACTTGGTTTAGCGCTGCCTTGTCCAATATTCTCTCCGTTTTCCAAAGATTATTGATGCGTAAGAGACTGCACAAATATTTGAGTGCCTTTTGTTCTGTACCAAGAGGGTCAGCAGTGAACAAAAGTAGCCGAAATCCCTGCAGAAATCCCTGCCTCGTGGGGCTTACATTCTACCGGGGAGAAGGACAAACACGCAAATGAGTCAAATACACAGGATGTCATCCACAGAGAACCGTTGGAAGGACAAGAAGAGAGGAGTAGAGAGTATTAAGGGGTGGCCTCATGGAGAAGGTGACATGTGAACCATGAGCCACATGGAGGGGTAGTCACGAGGTGAGCAGGGTGTGGGGGGATAGCAAGGGTCTTGTATTTGTGGAACAGCAAGGAAACCAGTGCAGCTGGAGTGCGGCGGGTGGGGGCAGGGGGGGCCAGTGTCAGAGACACAGGCGGTGGATCTGCTGGCACCAGTGGGCGGGACATTGGAATCTCCTTTCACCCCAGGTGACTTGGGGATCCTTTGGAGAGTTTGGGTGGAGAAATGATGCAATCTGGCTTATGTCTGAGAAGGTCACTGCCTGCTGTGTTGAGAACAAACAAGCGGAGGGGAAGGATGGGGGGCACTTGGCACCCTGCTGTCAGCTGCCAGGCTAGCCCCGGTGGGGTGGTGGGACGTGACTGGCATCTGCACGTGTGCAAGGTCAGGCTGTCCGTGTTTGGTGTGGGATTGGATTTAGCGCTTGAGAGAAAGGACACGAGTCGCAGATGGCCTGCCCCTTTTGGTGCGAAGACGAGAGGGTTGGAATTTGTGTTAAAAGCATCTGAATCATCTTTTTCAAGATTGTCAGGAAATCGTTGTCTGGAGAAACAATTCCATCTCTCTCTCTCTCTTAAAAGTAAATAAATAAACATATTTTTATAAAGGGGGCGGTCACCTGGGTGGCTCAGTCGGTTACGCATCTGACTCTTGGTTTTGGCTCAGGGTCGTGATCTCACGGTTCGTGGGTTCGAGCCCTCTGCTGATAGCGCGGACCCTGCTTGGGATTCTCTCTCTTCCTCTCTCTCTGCCTTCTTCCACCCCCTCAAAAGTAAATAAATAAACATAAAAAAAAAAGATTTCGGTGAGTTGAGATAATTACGTATTGTGGGTTTTTGTTAAGTAGAGATGTGTGAATGTGTGTGTTGCTGTCGTATCCTGAACAGCATTAGAACATTCCTGCTTTAATTGGATCACAAGTGGTTTGTGTTTATAGAGTAGGTTTAGGTACTGTGAATATTGTCAGTATTCTTGCCAAATGATCTACAAAATTCTAGAAGATACTAATACTTGACTTTTATACAGCACTTCATATGTGCCTGATATTTTTCTACAGGCTTCATAGAGATTAATTCACCCTACTACATATGTGCTAGCTTTCACCTGCCTTCTATAGGTGAGGGACGGGTGCTCAGAGAGGGCAGTGCATACGTTGCAGGCCAGAACATAGTGTCTGAGACCAGGTTTGGTGTCCTAATCTGAACCCCAGTCCCTGTGATCTATTGTCGTATTGCTAATGCTAGAATTCATACAGAGCCAGAAGTCCCCAGAGTGGACTACTAAGGCCGTCATTCCCATTGTTGTTTTTTATAATTTTTTAAAATATGTATTTATTTTAGAGAGAGAGAGAGAGAGAGAGACAGAGCATGAGTGGGAGAGGGGCAGAGAGAGAGGGAGACACAGAATCCTAAGCAGGCTCCAGGCTCCAAGCTGTCAGCATAGAACCCAACACTGAGCTCGAACCCATGAAACTGAGAATATGACCTGAGCCTAAACCAACACTCAGATGCTTAACCTTCTGAGCCACCCAGGCGCCCTCGTATGAACCTTGTTTTCGATGTCTTTCGTTTTAAAGATACCATTTTATTTTATTATTTTATTTTATTTTTATTTTTAGAGAGAGAGGGAGAGTGTGAGCGGGGGAGATGGGTAGAGGGGCAGAGGGAGAGAGAGAATCATAAGCAGGCTCCAAGCCCAGCACAGAGCCTGACACAGGGCTTGATCCCACGACCCTGGGATCTTGACCTGAATCAACCTCGAGGGCTGGGCACTCAACCAACTGAGCCACCTAGGCGCCCCGTAAAGACACATTTTTAAATATATACTGGTAATTCATAAACATCATTGAACTCACAACCAGTGACACTGTAACTCATGCCTGAAGGAAGTTTATCCACCCACATATTTTCCCCATAGGGCTCATCATAGCTTCCTTGCGCTTAGAAGTAGTAGATAGCACTTCAGCACCATGCTTGGGGCTCATTTTTTTTTTTTTT